TGGTAAAATGGGGTGAAAGGTTAAAGAAGTACAAATTAATAGTTGATAGACGGTCACAGGGATGGGGAGCATGACATAGGGAATGCGTTATTAATGTAATTACTAAATGGAGAACCAGAAGAGAAAGAGCGATTAGAGGGATTATTTTATAAATTATATAATTGTCTAACCAATGTACTGTATACTTGAAACTAATAATAAAATAAAAATAAAAGAACCTAGGAAAACAGGAATGAAAAGTGAAAAGACATTTCAGTCTACCTAGTACTACATTTCTCAACCCTCAATTGATATTTTGTTTATTAATCTCTTGTGAGGTTTCTGAGTGTGAATCCATCCTTCTGAGAATTAGGAAACTAGTCAAATGGCATTTTGAACCCAAAATATTGACGATCAGGGCTTGGATAAAAGTTACCATTTTTAGATTGAGCAGCACAGGGTGCTTAACCATACTCAAACATGACTCCAGCACCAACAGAGGAACCCATCACTCCTTTGGTTTCTTAATGCTCCCCCCTGGGACCTCACATTGGATCTGCCTATGTGAATGCAAAAGAGAAGTCTTCTCCCACAGAGAGCTAGCTGCACTCCAGTCTCTGAATTAATAAAAAGTGGAGTTTCAACACCACAGGGAAATTTTGGTTCACAGAATTTCTTCATACTATGATAAACATATTTAAAAAAATGTCTCCAGGCTTTCATGATACTAAATGTGGTTTAGTATCATGGTACTAAACCATGATAAAAATGGTTGTTGCTGAGTAGTAGAATGACTGGTGATTTTAAATGTATCTTATTATTCCTTTTAACTTTCCACAATGAACACTGTTTTGCACAGGGTGCTTTCAATTGCAGGAGCAGAAAACGCCACTCATTTTGGCTAAATGATACAAGAAGTCAACATCCAACTGAAAACTAATTTTAGGTGAGGCTTAATGCACTGGAAAAATAATATCACCAAGAGTCTAATCTCATTCCATTATTCTCTTCTGCTTTCTTTGATGCCATTTTCATTCCAGTTCTGGCTCCTCCTCATGATTCCATGATGGCTATCAAAGCTCCTGAGAAGGAAAAAGTAGTTATGTCTTTGTCCTAGCATTCCCAGAGGTCTTAAGATTTACTGTGATTGTACTCTTTAGTTCATATTCTCATACTTGAACCAATTATTGTGGTAAAAGGAGCATTAGAATGCACTGATTTGTTTAGGCCAGGTCAAAAATAGTAAATTTATAGATTGAAAAATACAATTAATGTTTGATTTATGGCCATAAATCGAAACCTGTATCCAACAATCAGAATAAAAATTCCTCTCAAGCATACATGGTCACATTCTGAAAAAAATGTAATGTTAATTTCATGTCAGCAATGTTCTCTAAGCAGTTCAAGTGGAACATAGAGAGAGAGGTATAGCTTTGCATGCTTATATTAGGCAAGAAAAAAGTCTGAAAATTAATGATCTGTGTCAGCTTAAGAAGAAGAGTACAACAAATACAAAGAAAGTAGAAAGAAGGAGCTTTATTTTAAAGTAAAACTAATAATGGAAAAAGAAGACGACAATACAGATGGTCAACAAAAGCAGAAGTAGGTCATATGAAAACACTAAAAACAACACAGACAAACCTCAGGTGCGATTGCTCAAGATAAAATTTACCCCCCCACACACACACACACACACAACCATCAAGAATAAAAAGGAGGCATAACCACAGATCCAAAAGAGGTTTAAAAAAATGGAGGGACTATTATGAAAGACTTTATCTTAGATAAGAAAATTGAAATGAAACAGACACGCTTATAGAAAAATAAAGCTTACCAAAATTTATCACAGAAGAAACAGAAAATTTGTGTATTTCTGTATCTGGTAAAACAACTAACAAAAAATTAGTAACCGTCCTATCCAGAAGGCTTCCCTGGTGGATCCACCAAACATTTAAGGAGAAATAACGCAAACTCTTTTTGAAAATAGAAAACAGAGGATTAGTTCCCAATTCATTTTGTAAGGCCAATATAAATCTGATATAATCTAAACCAACATCTAACAAGAAGAGAAGATAGGAAAACTATAAGCCAAGATCTCTCTCCTGAAAATAAACACAAAAATCCTGAACAGAGATAGTATACTTCAAGAAGGCGAGATTTGTTTAAATGCAAAAATCAGTCAATGTTAACCACATTTGAAAAAAACAAGAAAAAATTTATAATAATTTTTACAGATGGGTCTAAGTTCAACATCTACTCATGATTAAAAGTTATCAGCCACTTAGTATAGAAGACAGTTTTCGTAACCTAATAGAGAGTGTCTACCCAAAAAATTCCTATAGCAAACATCATAATTAATAATGATAATATCAAACATTTTCTCCCCATGTTTGTAAACAAGACAAGGATGGCCACCATGTATCAACAATGTATGGCGGTATAGAGGTGCTATCAGGAAAATAAAATAGGTATAAAGTTTGAAAAGGAAAAAGTAAAATTGTCATTATTCATAGATGACATTTTTCTGTACATAGAATATACAAAAGGATATAAAATGATTAATAAATGAATGTAGCAAAGTTACTTGGTATGGGGGCAATAATAAAATAAATCAATTGCATTTCTTTATAATAACAAAAATAATTAGAAAAAAGATATTTTCAATGAAATTGAAAATCGTATCAAAAATATGGAATACTGAGGAATAAATCTAATGAAAGATGTGCTAGAGCACTACATGTAAAACTATAAACCAGCACTGAGAGAAATTAAAAGCCTCAGTAACTGGAGAGAAATACTTTTTGCATAGATTGGAAATCTTGTTACTAAGTCATTACTGTCATTTCTCCTCAGAATGATTATAGCAATCATATTTAAATTCCACCATTTTAATTCTGGGTAAAATTTCAAGCTGATAATAAAAAAGTATTTGGATATCAAAAGGCTTAGAATAGCCAAGACAAATTCTAAGGGGGAAAAAAAAATGTTGGTTGACACACACAATCAAATATGAGATTTACTGTGAAAAATATGTGGTATTGGAGCAAAGGTAGACAAATACACAAATAGAAGAGAACAGAAAGCCTAGAAACCAATCTGGAAATGTACAATTGCTAGATTTATGCCAACAGGGCCTACAAATCATTGTGGAAATGATAGTCCTTTTAATTAGTCAACTGGATAACTAGGGGGTAGGGGAGAATAAACCTTAACTCTTACCTCAACCCATTCTATAAAAAATTTATTTGAGATAAATAGGAGATCTAGAAGAAAACTTAAGATATTATCTTCATGGCTTTAGGGTAGGCGAAGATTCTTAAAAGAGAAAAAGCACTAACCATAAAGAGTAAATTTAGACTTAATTAAATTAAGTTTTTTCATTCATCAAAAAACACTACTGCATTAAGCAAAACAGATCTATAGAAGATACTCAAAATTATATATTTAGATATAAGCATCAAAATGAATGGAATCCAGAATATGTGTAAAACCACAAAACAATTTTTAAAATAAAATATATCAATAAAATATGAGTAAAAGATCTGAAAAATCATTTCATAAAAGATATGTGAATGGTAAATCAACTGAATTAATCAGCAGAAAATGCAAGTTTAGGCATATGAGAGATGACTGCACACTCACCAGAGTGGCTGAAATTACAGACTGACTACATAGCAAGTGTTCGTGGATATGTGGTACAACTAGAACTCTCATACATTTCTGGACTCAGATTCCCAGATAAATGCCCAAGGCCATAGTTGAAAGGTTAGGAAGAACTCCCTCAAGGCTGAGACATAGAAATCAAGGAAAATACTCCACTCTAGGGCTGAGACGGAGCATCTGGGGAGAATCCACCCCCTAAGGCAGAGACAGAGCCCCAAATAAGAGTTCCCAGCCATAGTAGAGATAGAGGACCCAAGGAAGAGTAGCCACCCTTACATAAGTGAAATCAAGTGCCCAAAGAAACATCCTCACTAGGGCTGTGAAAGAGCCTCCAAGAAATCTCATCCTGTGCAGAGATTGACCTTCCAAGAAATAGCCTCAGCCACCCCAGATCTCAGAGGAAACACTGAAAAAGAGTCCAAACTCTCAGGGCTGAGAAAGAACCCAAGGTAAAGTTCTACCGCACCCATGGCTGAGACAGAACTCCCAAGAGAGAGTTCTACCTTAGTCTTAGAGAATCCAAGGAAGAGCACCCCCACAGGACTGTGACAGAACACCAAACGATAAGTCTCCTCAGGACTGGGATAGCTCACCCACTAAAAGTCCCTACTAGGGATTAGCAGAACACAAGGAAAACCTACCCCCATCATAGCTGAGACAGAGTGCCCAGGGAAAAGTGTCCCCTAGTGCTAAGCTACGCATCAAGGAGAGTCTCTCACAGGCAGAGATGGAGCCTTCAAGGAGGAGAAACCAAAGGGCTGAGGTAATAAACCCAGGGAAGAGAGACAACCTCAAGGCAGAAATAGAGCACCCAAAGAAAAGTTCCCTTCACAGGGCATGGATAGAGAGCCAAGAAACACTCTCATCGCTGATGCTGAGACAAGAAGACTCCCCTCACCAGCGTGAGAGACAAATTCCTCACAGAACTAAGATAGAGCAACAAGGACATCCCTCTCCCCAACATGGCTGAGATAGAGTACCATATGAAGTGTTTCCACAGAGCTAAGGTAGATCATCCAGAAATAGAACCATACCTCAGACTGAGAACACACAAGGGAGAAACATCCTCTGGGACAGAAATATAGCACCCAGGGCAAAAAATCCACACTTCAAGTATTAAAATCCTAAACTTGTTGGAAGAGCCTGGAAGCAACTCAGAAAACGGCAGTAAAGTCGTGATGTTTCACAGGTTCCTCTCTAGTTATGTACCCTTTTGGAGTTGCTGGAAGTACTCCCCCTAGAGCGTCTGTGAATCATACGCATAAGGAAGTGTCTCTTCAGAAGCAATCTGATGTATCATTGCCTAAGAGGGGTTCCAGGGAAGCCGATGGCCATGGTGTGCTACTGACCATACTGACCTGCACCAGCGGGATCCTGGAGAAGCCATGAGAGCCGCAGAGCCTGGTACTGCAGAAGGCAGCAAACCAGAACCAGGAAGCGAACTTTCCTAATGTCTCTGGCGCCCTCTGCAGGCTATCTTTTATGTCAACTTCCACAAGAAAAAAATAAAGGAACCATAACCATTTTCACAGAACAGGCTAGAAGAGAGATTTTAGAGCTGAGAGGGTATAAATCAAATTTGGCACACTATGTTTACAGGAAAGGAGGAAGATTATATGATCATAATAATTAATACAGAAAAGTCGTGTGATAAAATGCAACAAATGTTCATGATGAAAAATTAAAAACATTTGTTAGGAATTAAAAGCATTTCTTACCGAAAATCTGCAAGACACACATTATTCCTAGTAGTGAAAAATTGAAACCATTACTCACAAAATCAAAACAATGTAAGATTCTCACTTTCATCACTTTTGTTTAGCACTGCACTGCAGGAATTCCTGCCTTGCACCTTAAGATAGTAAATAGGCTGTTCACACAGAGCAGGCTCTGGGACTGTTGAATTATGGACAAGCCCTGAGAATGGTGCTTTTCAGGGAGTTGCCAGGCATGTTAAATAGTAACAATTTTCTCAGCATGCAGCTTTTGGGAAAGCTCCAAACTTATTTCATTCACCCCCTTCAGCGGCTGATAGGTTGCTGCTTTTCAGAGCACCCATAGTTGTGAGTCTTGATTTTCAAGGCTACCATGGAGCAGAAGAGAGAAGTGTGAGAAGAGAGCAATTTAAAACACCACAAAGCTTCCTGTTATTATTGTGGCTTAGCCATTTTTCTGAATAAACACTGTTCAGATTTTTTGCAACACTTTGGTTAATTCCAGAGTTTTGAAAATGTTTATTTTGACATTTGTCAGTGTTCTTGTATTATTTACAGTCTCTTTTTCTTCTGGAAAAAAAAAACTAATATGCGGTGCCTATATATTGTACACAACCATCTATGACCAGAACTTGGTTCTTCAGTCAACTGGTTATAGTGAACTCAGCATAAGATATGGTTGTAGAATCAGAGAGTATATTAGTTTTTATTGTTGCATATAAATTAACTCAAACTTAATGGCTTAAAACACCACATCTATGTTATTTATTGTCTCACAATTTTGCAGCTCTGGACATGCTTGACTGAGTTTCCTGCTTCAAGTCTTAAAAGGCTGAAATCAAGGTTTTGGTCAAGCTACATTCTTACCTGGAAGATCGTGGGTGGAATTTGCTTTAAAATTCATTCAAAATGTTGGCAAAATTCAGTTCCTTGCCATGTGGGACTAAAGTCCTTGATTTTTTGTTGGCTGTTGGATGGAGGTCACTGTCAACTCATAGAGGCTGCTATTAGGTCCTTTTATTATAGCCCTTTTCATCTTCAGGCTAGCAACAGCACATCAGTTCTTATGTTTCACATTCCCTTGTCCTCTTGTGTTACCAACTAGAGAGATGCTCTGCTTTTGAAGGGCTTATGAAAGTAGGTTAAGCCCACCCAAATAATCCCACTGTATTAGAGTCAACTGATTAGTAACCGTAATTACATCTGTAAAATCATTTTTGTTGTGTTATGTAATGTAATCAAGTGATGAAGAAGATCATAGGAGGACCACCATCTTAAAATACTGCCAAGGATAGATGAAGAAGGTTATGTAGCAAAAGTAGAATCCATGGACATTTTGGCCACATCTTTGCAGAACTTACTTTTGGTTTCAGCACCTTCTTTGGTCCAATCTCGTACATACATTCTATCTGATAATGAGGTGCTTCTATGCATACTTGGTAGATCAGACAATTCCCTAGTCATACTGGGAAGTTCGGGTGGCAAGGGAACTTGGTGTCCCATGGTCAAGCATTCAGTGTCTACTAAGGCCCAACAGCAAGTCGAATGTTTCTTCAAAGGACCAGAATGGCATTTGCTTCTCTAGGACATTAGTGCCTGCGGAAAGCTTGGGTCCAGTGATTATTGGGAAACTAATCATTTATTTCTCTTTCCGCAATGCACCAGCATTCTAAAAAATGGGTGCAAATCCCCTTGGGTATGGCTAGGAGAAAAATAGGCAGTATAAATTTTTGCTCTGCCACATTTTTTCCTCAAGAGGCTTCTCCTTCATTCATGAGGTTTTGGGTCTGTAAACTTGGTCAAGCCTGGGATTTGATTGAGTCAAAACCCCTCAATCATAATGGGAGTAAGGAGGAATATGTTTGGAGTGCAGTAGATTGTATAAGCACCTCTTAATATTCCTACGTCCAGTGATTAAAGTCAATGGAAACTGCAAAAACTTAATTCATTCAGGACTGCTAAAGGTAGTGAACAACAGGAATGAAACTTTGGGTCACCCCATCAGGAAAATTATCATCTCCAGGGAAGATGATTGCTGAGGACAAAATGAATATGAAATGAGTAATGGAAGAAATGACCACATGACCATTTGCAGAAATAAGGACTGTAATAATTATGAGTATTACCTTCTTATTTTGATGTGAATATGTTTACATACACGTTGACCAAATATCTTTGATTTTACCATCTCTCATACACTTACCTGGTAACTAATATATGTTAATTAAAGTTAACTTTATCTCTCCATACTTAAGATACAGGGTATTAACAGGAAGTGAATCAGAGTGCAGCCAAATAAATAAGACTTAAGGACTTTATATCTTCTTTTGGAAAAGTTACATTAATCAGTTGTAAGCAGGGAAACTTGTATCATGTTAGACAGAAGTACGACTGTACTGTCTCTCTACTTAGAGACTAAGTATTTTTTTTAATTTTTATTAAGTTTATTGGGGTAACATTGGTTAATATAACTATATAATTTTCAGATGTACATTATAATTTGACATTTGTATATTCTATTGTGTGTTTACCACCTAAAGTCCAGTTTCTTTCAGCTACCATATATTTCATCTCCTTTACCCACTTCACTCTACCCATATCCCCCTATATTTGACCCCTTTACCTCATCTGAAATTTGATTGAGTCGAATTGAGTCAAATTGACTCAATCAAATCCACCCTCACCCCCACCCTCTGGTAACCACTAGTCTATGTCCACAAGTCTCTGTTTGTTTGTCCTGTTCATTTTTTGCTTTTAGGTTTATATCCTACATATAAGTGATATCATGTGGTTTTCAACTTTTTCAGTCTGCCTTATTTCTCTTAGCATGATTATCTTGAGGTCTATCCATGCTGTCGCAAATGGCAGTTTTTCATCTCTTCTTATGGCTGAGTAATATTCCACTGTATATATGTACCACAGCTTCTTTATCCAATCATCTATTGTAGGACAC